TGCTGGTCATTAATACGTTTAGAAATTATTCACAGTCATTTACATGAATGATAAGATTTAATCACAAGGTTTTTTTTTATTGAAAGAACTATCTTATATGTATCAATATTTAAATTAGTTCTCGAGTATACACTTTTAAGTGAATGCATCAGTGGTAACATTCACACATAACATGATGACACTTGGAATTTAAGGTCTAACTCGTAACCACCACCATGACATTTGTACCATTATACGATCACATCATAGTTTCACAACTCACGAAGCATGTCCAACAATATGATCATTTTGGATTGGTCTATCTACTATTATGTATATGAAAAGTACGAGGTACTCGATGAGTACGTACATGGTTTAAAGCTTGCATGGCTAAGACATTTCGAAAGAGCCATGATGGGTTCAGAAAATTCGTTGAAAGCTTACAATAGGTGGAACAAAGAAACCTGCATGCCTCAAGTACTATGATAACGATAAGATGAAAAATTATTAAGACTATAATAAAATATACACTACATAATTTTGCTAAAACAATTGGTAATTTAATTTAGGTTTCCATTTTACTTTTGTGCAACTAATCCTTTTCAAACAAATCAGATTTTTGTTTTTTACATTAACAAAAAAAAAAAATCAGACTTTTTTTTACCAGCGTAATATTTTTTTTAATTTCCGACACCCAATCGGGTAAAATAGTGATGTAAAAGACAATTTGGTTCTGAATTCAAGTTAAAAATAAAATAATTTAGATCAATAATAATTCACTAGTATAGAAAAGTAAAAATTGTACATTTGTGTGGGTGGGGAATTAGGTCAATGTTAAGGCACTTTCATGGGGACCATTTTGCCTTGACGAAGACTCATTTGCACACAAGCGTCGATAAGTGCTGCAACTTGCAGTGCAATCCGGTCTGGTCCTGTATTTTACGGGTTAGGGTTAGAAATTTTCAATTTTAGACGGCTAATTCTGAAAGATCACGGGTTGATCAGCAAAATTTTTAAATTGTTATACAATGAATTACA